AAAAAAAAAAAAAAAAAAAATTAAAGAGTAGGACATAAGGATGAATGAAGGTTACTCCTGTAAGAACTGGCTTGGGGGGTTGGATGGAGGAGAGTTGATAAGTCTAAGTCCTGAACAGAACATGTTAATTAACATGTCTGTCCCTATGTCCCCTTCACTTCCTTAGGTTTAAAAATAAATATGAACATTATGTACTTTGGGATCTGAGGTTAATTCGGGGGCTGGCCAGGGATGGGGACTTTTCTGAGATTCAAATCTGGCACCTACGCTCAAGGGTTTGCAGCATAATAGTTAGCCTGTGCGTGTGTGTTTCCAAGAAAGACATTAGATTTAGCGGTGAAAACCAGTAATCTTGATCCTTTCACAGATCAGAGATTTGCAAATTAATAGCTCTTTTCCCCCAAGGGTCTGAGGAGGTTAAAAAAGATTTCTGGAGAAGGAGGGGGACAGAGGGGAGAAAAATATAAAGCAGGAAAAGGAACGGATATGACACTGCCAGAACATACTTCCCTGTGAAAGGGGTGTGTGTGTGTGTGTGTGTGTGTGTGTTTGGCTGTGGGTCTCTGCATTTCCATGGGGCTGTCTGCCCCATTGCTGGAGCCTATTGGAAGGGAGGTTTCTTTGTGTGTTCGTTTATTACTAAGCCCAACTCTTTTCCTTCTAAAACTCCTTCTTCTCCCTGTTGAGCTGACCATGCTTGTGGATTTATGAAGAGAGATATTTTAGCAGAAATCCCCCAGAGTGTCCCATCAGCCCTAAATCCCACCCCCGCTCACCCTCCCAAGACCCCATGACACACAGCATGCCAACACGGCTTCCTCTTGCCTATGCATTAGCCATCCATTGTGGCAACCTGACATCTCTCACACATAAAACCGTAAGAGAGAAATAAAATATCTGTCTCTTGGCGAAAATAAAGCTTTGCCTCCCTCCTGATGTATAGGATATAAAATAAAGCCGCGGCTCCAATAGTGGCTTTTCCTTATGCCAGAGTTGCCTTTGCACACCCGGAGACAATGAAGACGGATGGTTTGGGACGAGGCCCAGCCTCCTGGGGCCGCCTTCACCCTCTTTTATTATAGTCTCTCCCCCCACCTTGCCTTTTTCTTTCTTCTTCACTTTCTTTCCTTTCTGGTTTGGATTTGCCTTTTATATGCCCTTCTCTCTTTCCCCTGGAACTTTATTCCTCTCGTTTACTTTCTTCCTAAAGCACGACGGAGGCAGTGAGAAGGGATCCAAGTTTCTCACCTTCTCTAACATGCCTGCCACCTGGACCTCCAGCCCCTAGGACTAACTTTGCTATTACTGCTGGGGATTAGCCTCGGTCAAATGTACAAACGTTCCCATGGGATAATTAAGGATGTTTTTAATGGGGGCGGGGTGAATTTTTTTCTAGGAAGCGTCCCTTCCCCTCCTCTCCCCAGGCTGTGGGGTTTACAGATCTCAGCATCTATTTATTTAGCCTCCAAGGAGGCCAACAGAGCAAAGCTACCACCTTGCAGGGGTGAGAGCCGACATTCACCTCCCAAACCCAAGCCTCGAAGCTATATTACCAGACTGTGGCCTTGGGCCCCTGCAGCCGTCTCAGCTACCAAGGGGCCCATACAAAGGCAACAACCTCCCTCTGCCTCTTCTCCCCATCCCTGAGAACTGAGGGTGTTGTGGGGTAGCCTCAGGGGCCCTCTCCACGCTCACATAGGGAGATAGAACTGTGGCCAGCATGATCACACAGGCATAGCTGTGGCCACCTTCTTGCTCTCTTGCAAGCTTGATGTCTTTCCCATGGGGCACAGTTTCTATGCCCTCCCTGCCCATTGTCCCTGAAGGCCTCACTTTTGCTGGATGAAAACTGCTCTTCTGGGTACTTCCATCTCCCAACCCGTCCCAGCCAAGGTGCATTTGTCTCCCAAAGTCTCTCCTGGTCCTTGCCCTAAGATCATCCTTCCTACTGCTCTCTTTCTGTCTTTACTGAGAGCTCTTTCCCAACCTATCCCAAACCTCCCCTGCTCTACTAGGGACTGGAAGAGGCATCCCAGGTCCCACAAGAGTAAGCAATGACTCAAACAAGGGGGCAGTTCAGGGACTGGAGCCCAGGGAAACAATGGGGGAGGTGGAACTGTGGTATCCAGCAGAGAGGTAGTGGGTGGCTTCCATCCTCCAGAGCGTGCCAAGTGGAGGGCTAAAGAAGGGCCTCGGGTGTGTGTGTGTGTGGCCAGGTCAGCCTTATCTGAAGAGACCTTTATTAATGCTGTCCAAACCTGGAAGGGCAGGCAGCAACATCTATTGAACTCTACCCCAAAAAGAAGGAAAGAGCAAGGCAAAGAGCTTAGAGCTGCCAAATCCAGAAAAAAATTCAATCTCAGCCCCAAAGGTTGTTAGCTTTGTTAGCTTTGGGGTGTTTCTCTGTCCCTCTCTCTCTCTTTCCTCACTTGATATCTCTCCAGATATCGGAGGTGACCACTGCCATTAGGTAAGGGGAGAGAGTCAATTAGTGAGAGGATTAATTACTCCCAGACACGAGCCCCGTTTGTCTTCCTTACCCGGTGTGAGTCTGTGCTCAGACAGAGGAACACGGGCAAGCACCCAAATACACATTGTTGTCACGCCGTCTTAGACGTTTTATTTATTTGTTGGATTCCTGCCCAGAACTGTTCGCAGGCTTTTCCATGGGAGCTGAGTCTCCCACCCAACACGCTGCCTCCTTTTCTCCTGCCCAGGAACCTGCCTGCCACACGCACGCGCACGCACACACACACACACCCACACACACACCTGCACACCCTCTGGACCTGGCAGAAGCCCCCCTGGGAGCCCCACAGCCGCCTTCTCACCCCCTTTTTTGTTGCTGGCTGTCTTTCTGGGTCTCTTTTCTGTTTGTTTTACTGCACTCCTCCACGTATTTCTGATATATCTTTACTCCCTTTCTACCCATGTGCTTTTCCACATTCCTTCTTTTCTCTTCTTTTTCAGCTCTCCTGCTCTTATTCTGTTTTCCTCTCTCTCCTCAGTTCTGTCTCGTTTCCCTTCAAGACTACTCACATCCTGTCTTTGCTCTTTGGGTCTGCACTGGGGGTAACTCTGGTATCAGCATGTTCAAGCTTGCGGCTCCACCCGTCCCCTCCTCTGGGGCCAGGGTCCTTCTAGCCCTCCTGGGAAGCCAGTGTCCTTTACCCAAGCCCTCTGTGATACCTGGCCCGGGCTGCTGCCCTCTCTCAGCCTTAATCTCCCTCCACCGTGTCCAAACCCTGCTTGGAAAAGGTGGCCAGAGGGGAAGTACACACCCCGCCAGATCAAGGTGCCCCCCACCCCTGTAACTTCTCACCTTAATAGTGCTCAGGGTGACTTTGGTTTAATGCAGAGCTGAAATGAAATAGCTTCAGAGGTGGTGAATTTAGAAAGCCAGGTCAGTTTTCTCTCCGAGGCATGCCACTGATTACATTTTAAAATAATCTTAGGCAAGCCCCCTAACTTGGGTTTCCTGTCCCAGAAAGTGGAGTTAATACCCATTGGCTCCCCCACCTCCAACCCCCTTACTATTAGGTTCAGGGGAGATAGCGATATACCAGTAAAATACTGCACATAAGTTGATCTTTTTTGTGAGGGAGTGATGGGGTGAGATTAAGGCAGTCCTGAGTCGGGAGACAGAAGAGAAAGACGAGAGAGGTCAGTGATCAGAACCAAGAGACTCCAGCCTGACAGTTCTGTGCGTCACATAGGCTACTCCTCAGGAGTCCCTGCAGAGCTTGTGTGGCCTCCGGACCAGTAGACCAGCAGGGTCTGGGGTGCACCTGGCTACTTCTTTCCTTCCTCCCTGCTGCGTGACCTGGTACACCCAGTTTCTACAGCTCTTCAGAGGATAACCACCTACCGCCAGGCTATCCCCAAATGTCTACTTTTGTGGTCTCATAGCCCTTTTCTGGGGGCAGTGGCTGAACAAGAGCAGGAATAGAAAAGAAGAGGCCAGGGGTGGCCTGAGCTCTGGGGATCAATATTAGCCCACAGAGACTAGGCAGACTGGGTCCTTGTTCTGCTCAAGTCTGGAAGGAACATGGGGGGGGGAGGGTTGACCAAGGAAAAGGGATGCAAGACCAGTTCCTTCAGCACCCAAATTAGGATACCTGGGGAGAGCTGGTAGATTACTCCATCCCTATTCCTAGAAAGGGTCTTTCTTCTCTGGCTGATTTTCAGGGAGCTTCTCAGAAGAGAAACCAGAGCTGTGAAAGCCACTTCCTAAGCTTGCTGGAACCTTTTCAAGAGGGTGTCTTGGGAGTGGGGCTGAGGATTCTTCGGCCACTGAGTGATGGCTGAACCTCCACATTGAACCTCTCAGCACCGGTTCAGAATTCACACATCTTGGGCTGTGAAAAGTGGCTGTGGGTCTTTGCGACTTTGAAGGACCTGAAGTAGGACCTTGTGTACTCAAGGACGGGGACAGTGAGTGACCAGGACACTACGGCAGTGTAGGTGGAGAGAGGAGGTTGTTGCTCTTGCTCAGGGCGACTTTGGTTTAATGCAGAGCTGAAATGAAATAGCTTCGGAGGTAACAAATTTAGAAAGCTGGGTCAGTTTTCTCACCGAGGCATGCCACTGATTACATTTTAAAATAAAAGCTCAGTGGAAAAGCGGGGGGGGGGGGGACATTTGTGTGCTGTTGGGGTGGAGGCGTTAAATCTGGACTTTAAACCTAGAATCAGGAGCCACCGGGCAAGCCTTGCCTGGGGGCCCTCCAACCTCTTGTGGACGCCCGGGCTGGCTCTATGGATTTGTGTACTGCGCCATCTGGACACCCGGACTAGCAGAGCCCTAAGCCCTAGAGCCAGCGTCCCGTTTCGGCTCCAACTCCCCTACTGCGCTAAACCCTCGGGGGGGAGGGGTCTTCTTTACCCTACACCTAGGTCCCACAGTCTTTGCCTCCACAAACGGACAGAACAACCTCTTTCTGCCCACCGGAGGAAGGCGCGAGCCTCGGATTTGGAAAGGGCCAGCAGCCAGGGCCAGCCGCCAAGTCCAGCTGTCGCCCTGCAGGTCCCCTACAACCTCTCCCCAGCCCCCTTCTCTTGGCCCCTTTGCTTTGCATGAGAAGGAGCCCAGCTGGGGCGAGGGCGGGGGGCCAGCCACCGGGGACCAGGGCAGCTATAGATTCCGGAAAGCGACGGTTGGGTGGAGGACTCTAGCTGCGAGCGAGCGCTGGGACAGCTGGGGGGAGGGGGTCAGCGCCCTGCTGGACCGGCCCTTCCTCCAGGACCTCACCTAAGCAACCGGCTAGGAGGCGCCTCCGGGTCCGCAGTGTGAGAACCCAGGAGCTGGCGCCAAGCTGCCCTTAGCGCCTCCGGGGGTGCCAGGATACTGGATCCCAGTCCGCTTGCTCCTGGAAGTGTCGAGTCCGCAGGGAGAGCGCGAAGCCAAGTCCGAGCCCGCTGAGCCCGCCTGCTAGGTGGGAAAACCACCTCCTCCATCCCTTGAGCTGACCCGAGCTCAGGCCCGGGAAAGGTTGGCGAAGGGATTGGTGCTCGAGTTAAACAGCCCTCTGCTCTGCCCCGACCCGCAGCTGGGAGCCCGCACCCAGGTGTGTAAGTGCAGGAAGGTGCGGTGACAGCATTAGAAGCCGGGCATCCCAAGGTCTGGGCGGGGCGGAAAGCCAAAGAGGCGCTCGGGCGGCCTTAGCAACTTCGATTTCCAATGAAAAGGTAACGCTGGCAAAGAGGTAGGGTCTGCCCGCTAGCCTCGGGGTTGCAGGAGAATTGGCAGAGCTCTGAATCCCACCGAACACAAGCCAAACTCGCTGTCGCGCCTTTCCAATTCGTTCGAAGAGGGTATTTTATTTGCAGAGCCAGATTTCCCGGCAGCCCAGGTTCACTGCAACGGCGTTTTGGGCGCATTTTTCTTTACTAAGTCCCCCCTACCCTTGTGTCAAAGGCTTCCCTTGCATAGCGAACGAGATCAAAAGGGCAGTTCCAAAACACCAGCTAACCCTGGCTGGCCGCTCTCCTTTACTTCCATACTAGAGTCAGTTAAACCTTCCCAACACACACAGAAATGGGGAGGAAGAGTGGGACCACCCAGCCCTATCGCCTGCAGACTCTAGGAGGGGAGAAACCTGGGTTAAGCCTAGAAAAGGTGCGGTCAAAAAGGAATTTGGGGGTTGACTGGAGCCCGCCAGAGAACCCGAGTGCCTCTTGAAAGCTCAGGTTCTCAAGGCCGGGATCCGACCCCCACGTCTAGATAAATCCGCCTCGGCGGGCGTGAGTTCACACCGGGAGCGGAATTAGGGACGTGCGTCACCTAAGGCGTGACCTCTGGAAGGTATGGTCGGCTGTTGTCTTTGGAAGCTGGTGCCAACCCGAAGCCAGGAAAAGGGAAGGCTGGAAGCTGGGCACACTGCCAGGGCACTGCACACCTCCATCTATTGCAGCCCCCCGTGTTGTCCCCGGAAACTTCCTTCTCCACCTCCTCCTTCCCACTATCACTACCACCACGCCGCCCAGCTGCCGGAGCCCCGCGGTTTCCCGCCTAGTCGTTTTTGTTTGTAAAAGGTGTCTCCGGATCGCAATTTTCTCACAACTTCTCGCCGGGGTTGCAACTCCGCACCCGAGGCGCTTCTCCACCCACTCCTTCCCCCACCCCGGCGCCGCGCCTCCGGCCTCCCCCTCCCCCACCAGGAAACCGCTCGAGTCAACTTTCGGAGCGCGCGCGGCGGGAGACGGACACCCGGATCTCCCAGACACCCCGACCCTGCGGACTTTGGATGCCCTGGGGGAGGGGCTCAGAAAGAGGGACGGGTGGAGGGAGACTCAGCTGCCAAGCGCCCCCTGTCTCTTCAAGGCCTTGCTCTGTGCTTGGGGCAAACTTTCGAGCGAAAGCAGCAAGAGAAGAACATGCTAACACCCAGTGAGTCCCAAAGCCAAACAGTGCACCAGGGCCTCCCGGGTTTCCGGACCCGGTTACACCCCAACCTTAGACCGGCTTTATCTGGGATTCCCCTTCTCTCCTGCGGAACTCTAGCCTCCGGCTGCGCCTATTCTGCCTCTTTCAGTCCCTCCCACCGAAACCGACGCCTTACCGGAGTAGGAGGGGGCCAGGCACCTCGCCGCCCGTCGCCCGCCGGCCGCGGGTGCCGCCGCCACTGATCCTCTAAACGCGGTCTCCCCGCACTCTCCCCGGCCAAGGGATGCCGAATGGTTTACAGAGGGACCGCGAGGCGCTGATTGGTCGCGGGCCCCCGTGACGTCGGCGGGCGCTGCATTAAGGCGAGGGGGCTTCCAGACCTCAGCCAACAGCCAGGAGCAGTGATCGAGCCGCTGGAGCTGGGGAGAGACGCGCCGGGGCGGCGGACTGGGCCAGGGAGACCTGGAACCGGGGGACGCGGGCCCAGAGAGTGCCAGCAAGGAGCTGCGGCCCGGGCGGCGAGAGCGGCGGTCCGCACCGAACTGTTCCAGACACTGGCTTACTGTAGCTGCTGCGTCAGGACATTATTTTAAAGCTTTCCAAGCTGCCCCCTCCCCCCGACTCCTCCCGCTGCAAAAGGAAAAAAAGAGAAAAAGGAGACTAGAAAAAAACCCCAGATTTGCCACCACATCGGAAAAAATAAAAGAGGGAAAAGAAAAGGGAAGAAAGCCGAGTGCCTGTGGGGTTGGACGCAGGCAGCCGGATCGTGGGCCGAGCGATGCGGGGCTGCGCGCCCAGACAGCCTCGAGTTGTGACCAGAGCCACGATGCACGGCCAGGCGCAGTGAAGAGCCGGACCGTACTACCTCCCCCAAGGAGCCCAGGCGCAGGGAGGGCCGCCCCAGGACACGGAGGCCGCCTGGCAGGCCACTGGCCGAGGTGACGGGGCTGGGGCGGTGGGGAGCGAGCGAGCGCGCCTGGCTACGTCCGCCTGAAGTTCCCCCTCTCCGTTTTCGATTGACACAAACACTTCTCCGAAAGGGGGGAAAAAACCTAAGCAACAACAGCAATTAACACCAAGATCTGCTCCAGCCCTGCCCCCCCCCTCGGCCTGCCCCCTTCCCCTCCCCCAGGCCCAGCGCGGGCGCCGGGCGCGTCCCAACCCGCAGCACGCTGCTGGCAGTTTAGAATCCAAAGCTTCTCTCCTCATTTTCTTTTCTTTCCTTAAAAAAAAGAGAGGGGGAACCTCGGTGGTGGGCAGGCTGGTACGCACACACTCGCCTTCATACCCCGACAAAAGCAGATGCACTTTGACTTCTGACAGCTCTACCTCAAGCCGGAGAGAACTCAGCGGCGTATTCCGCGCAGTCCGAGCTAGCGGTGTCTTCCTCTTCTTCTCCGTCTGTTGTATTTATTTCCGTTCCCGCCGCCATTCTCGGTGACCTTCATTCCTCCGCGGGCTCTGGGCAGAAGAGTCGTTTTCTCGCCCGCCCGAGGCTCCTTTTCCTCACCCTGGGAGCCGAGGTGGCGTTGCTCCGCCCAGTGGCCCAGGGACTCCCCGGCTTCGCCTACCACCCAGGCGCCCGGCGCCCTGCCTCAGCTTTCTTTCCCCCCTTTTGATTTCTTGGTGCGGGTTTTGGCTTGCAAGGCCGGCCGACTGTGTCTCCTCTTTTTGGAGGGGGTGGGGAGCGGGTGCGGGTCATCTTTGGGAATCATTCCCTTGGCTCTACTTGCCCCGTCTCTCCGGGCCTCACCCGACCAAACCAAAGACCATGGTGCACTGTGCTGGCTGCAAAAGGCCCATCCTGGACCGCTTCCTCTTGAATGTGCTGGACAGGGCCTGGCATGTCAAGTGTGTCCAGTGCTGTGAATGTAAATGCAACCTGACCGAGAAGTGCTTCTCCCGGGAAGGCAAGCTCTACTGTAAGAACGACTTCTTCCGGTAAGTACTTACCTCCTGCACCTCTGCTGCTCCCTCCTGCTTCCTCCCCTCCCCTCGGACCCTTCCCATCCGGCTTCAGATCAGAGGTCAGCGTGGCCCAGGCAGCAGTATTAGGACCCGTCTCTGGAGGAGAAGGCCGCCAAGTCCCTCGGGCGCCTGCCTCTTCGCCAGCTGGCGCGCTGGGAACCCGGGATAGCAGCCCTACTTGCATCCTGGAAAAGTATGGGTCCAGCCAGGGCTGCACGTGCCAGGAAAGAAGGGGCCTAAGTCTGCCTCCATTCAGAAGCCCCTCACAGCTTGGAAGAGATAAGATAGCCTGGGGGGTGCCCTAACTCCGGTCTTTTCCCCAATCAAGCTCTCTAGCAACTGCATTCTCTAGGCCTCCAGGGTTGCTGGCCAAGGAGGCTGAGCTTAAAAACTTGAACTTACTTCTAGGCATTGCTTTTGCAATGGTCTTGGCGCGAACCAAACTGTGGAGCCTTTGGGTAGAGTCCCAGTTTCCTGCCCAGATATCGGCCTGGATACCAATCTTGCACACCCAGGAGCCTTCTTGAAACCTAAATTGACTTCTAAGCAACTAGACCTGGGCAAACTGCTGCACTGTAGCCTGTGAAGTGCCTCGAGGTTTTTTCTGCCCGACTTGAGGGGTTGGCAGGCAGTCAGCCTCAGCCCAGTGCCGACCTGGGCTTCCGGACAAGGGCTCCTCTTTGGAGCCCTCCCAGGGATGCCCCACCAGGGCTGCCGCCTCCTTTCTGGGACCTGTCTCCTTAGAGCCAGGAGACTTATCCCTACTCCCTTTCTCTGTTTTAGCATTTTCATTGAATTTTCTTAAACTCGTTTGGCTACCTCGTTCACACAAACAAGTCAACGGAGAACAGCATAAATGCGATTTGTAATTCCACTGTTCGGGTTTGAAATCTTCCAGTTTACTCGGCTGACTCGGTCTCGGCTTTCTCTCATTCTTTGGTGACAAATCAAAATGGGACGGGGGGGGGTGTTGAAGCATTCCTCAATGCCACTCCACCACGAGTGGCTAGGCTTCGCTGTGCACGCTGTTACTGCGCCAAGGCTGAGCCTCGGAGCCTCCGCCGCTGCGCACGGTTTCCTCTGCAAAGACGTCCCGAGCAAACAGAGTGCCGAGCCATACCCGCTTGCAGCGGGCCCCTGAGGCCTGGCTTGCTGCAAATCTCGGCAGGGCACCTAAAGCCGACCCAGCCGCTCTTCCGCTCTTGCTCGCGCCAATCTACCAGTTTTGGGCACGAACGTGGCAGCAGCCCAGCTGCGACTAATAGGCTGGGTGCGGCGGTGTTTGTTTACCCGCGGGCGGGCCGACCTCGCTAACCCTTCGCCTGTGCGCGGGTCCTTTTGTGGGAGAGGCGACCCTAGGAGAGAAAAGGCGGCGTTTAGGGTGCGTTTATGGCGCTCTAATTAGAATTTGACTTCTCTAATTCTAATCAGGAAATAAGTGTACCCTGTCTCCACTACCATTCTTGCTCCGGTCGCCACCGTACCGCCTTTTTCAGCGACGCTTTTTTCCCGGGGATAACTTGAGGAGTGAGGCTGGGGTCAGGCGGCAGCTTGGGCCCCTCACTCTAACCGTGCGCATTTCCTCTCTCACTTTCCCCGTGCCCCTTGCTCTTTCTTCCTGTCTTCTCACCTGTTAAATCGGCTTTTGACTCTCTTTTTGGCATTCTCATCTCTCATCTCCCTCCCTCTCTCTTCCTCCATTTACTTCTTCCTTTTTTCCACCATCTTTCTCCGGTCTTGTCTCCCCCTGCCCCTCGACAACCTCTACCCACTACAGATGTTTCGGTACGAAATGCGCGGGCTGCGCGCAGGGCATCTCCCCTAGCGACCTGGTGCGGAGGGCGCGAAGCAAAGTGTTTCACCTGAACTGCTTTACCTGCATGATGTGTAACAAGCAGCTTTCCACCGGCGAGGAGCTCTACATCATAGACGAGAACAAGTTCGTCTGCAAAGAGGATTACCTAAGTAACAGCAATGTCGCCAAAGAGAACAGCCTCCACTCGGGTGAGGCCGCGATTCCCAGCTGGCTCGGGGTGGGTGGGTCCTTCGGGAAGATGGCCGGCCGCGGCCCCTGCTCACCTGTCCCTTCCTTCTCCCCAGCCACCACGGGCAGTGACCCCAGTTTGTCTCCGGATTCCCAAGACCCATCGCAGGACGATGCCAAGGACTCAGAGAGCGCAAATGTGTCTGACAAGGAAGGGGGCAGCAATGAGAATGATGACCAGAACTTGGGCGCCAAGCGGCGGGGGCCGCGCACCACCATTAAAGCCAAGCAGCTGGAGACACTGAAGGCCGCTTTCGCAGCTACACCCAAGCCCACACGACACATCCGTGAGCAGCTGGCGCAAGAGACCGGCCTCAACATGCGTGTCATCCAGGTCAGAGCCCTGGCGTGCCACCCTGTCCCCCAGAGGACCACAGGCCATTCAGGATACCCAGTCCATGCCCGGGACTACCTGGACTTGGGGGCAGGGAGTCTGTGGAGGCTGGTGGAGAGTGTGTGTGTATGGGGGGGGGACACCTCCTGTTGCCTGGAGCTGCTGGAAATCCCTCTAGTAACTCAACAGAGGTGATAGCAGAGATTGGGGGGGGGGAGCTGCGTGGGGAGCTGGTCATGAAGCTGGAAGCTGTGCCCAATACCACAGAGAAAGTTACCCCTCTGTGCCCGCAGCCTTCGAATCTCACCCCACCCTTGTTAGGAAGGACCAGAGAGGTCACTATGGGTGCCAGAGTTGATCAGTTCCTTAGGCGTCTACACATGATCTCTCTAAGTTCTCAACCCCAACTTTGTGGGTCTTTTGTCCCATCTACACAAGCCGCAGATCAGCGACTTGCCGTCCTAAGGTTAATGGGGTGTCCTGGGTCAAAGGGGAGGTGGTTGAGTGGGCAGTCAGCTCTGCCTGGGTGGAGTCCCTGGTTGGATGGGGGAGGAGGGGCCATCTGGAGGTAGCTGGGCCAGTGCCGTGGGAGGAGGTGAGGCTGCGTAAGATTCAGGTGGCCCAATGGTAGGTGTCCTCAGCAAAGTGCCTGGAGGCTCAGCCAGGTCGCAGGTGGGAGAGGCTCAGTGTGCCTTTGCAAGTATACAAGGGGCTTGCAGTGGGAGTGAGGTTATGAGACCTCTAGGAGCCTGTTCAAATTTGTGCGTGAAAGTGTTGGATTGTGTGCCAGAGTCACCATTGTCACTGTGTCACTGTCTGTGAGAGCTAGGAGATTGTGTGTAGGTGTGAAAGGATTATGGGTTTTGGTGTCACTGCCCTTGGGAAATTTGAGTTTCAGCAGGAGGCTTTCTGTATCTGTCACTGTCCTGGGGTTGGGGAGTAGACACTGCAAGGGACCGTGCAAGGGAAACTGTTTGTGACATTGCTTTGGAGATGTTCAGTGTCTGTATGTACCGGCCCCGAGAAGCCGCAACTGTGCCAGTGTGGCTGCCCCATGTCGGACAAGGCAACCTGTCCAGGTCCCTCTTTCAAAGAAGGGAATTCTGCTTACCCTTAGTTTAGGGTCTATTATAGCTGTGGGATCTTATCCAGGGACCTCACCACCACTTCCAACCCCCCCACCCCCACCCCCCGGCCACAGTGGATGAATGAAGGGCTGGGCCCCTCTGAACACCCGGGCTGGGAAGTGGAGTCCTGGTGGCCTCACCGCGCTTTCGCATGTGTGCTTCAGGTCTGGTTCCAGAATCGGCGCTCCAAGGAACGGAGGATGAAGCAGCTGAGCGCGCTGGGTGCCCGGCGCCACGCTTTCTTCCGCAGTCCGCGCCGGATGCGGCCGCTGGTGGACCGCCTGGAGCCGGGCGAGCTCATCCCCAATGGCCCCTTCTCCTTCTACGGAGGTGGGTGCGCTGCAGAATGGCGGGGCGCGCGTCCAGGCCGGGACGGGCTTCGCTGGAAGCGGGTGGCAGCGCGGGGAGCGCCCCTGGCTTTCTGTAGAGAAGTGACGAGTCCAAGAGAAAAGGGCGAAGGCTGGGGAGGTGGTGAGACCCAGGACCAGGTTCCGGACCTTGGGTGAGGAGGGTGGGCGGGTAGGGAGCAACTGGTGTTTTGCACAGTCTGCTCCCTGCTCCCAGACCCAAGGCGCGCCCCACAAACAGCTCGCTACTTGGGTCGTCCCCTTCCCCTCAGTGCCTCTCCCACCCTCCGGGTTCGGCCCGACCCGGACCCCCGCCCTGACGTCCTCCTCCCCGCCGATCCGCAGATTACCAGAGCGAGTACTACGGCCCGGGCGGCAACTATGACTTCTTCCCGCAAGGCCCTCCATCCTCGCAGGCCCAGACGCCCGTGGACCTTCCCTTCGTGCCGTCTACCGGGCCGTCCGGGACGCCCCTGGGCGGCCTGGAGCACCCGCTGCCAGGCCACCACCCGTCCAGCGAGGCGCAGCGATTCACCGACATCCTGGCGCACCCCCCAGGGGACTCACCCAGCCCCGAGCCCAGCCTGCCCGGGCCTCTGCACTCCATGTCGGCTGAGGTGTTCGGGCCGAGCCCGCCCTTCTCGTCGCTGTCGGTAAACGGCGGGGCGAGCTACGGGAACCACCTGTCCCATGCCCCCGAAATGAACGAGGCGGCCGTGTGGTAGCGAGGTCTCGCACGGTCCGCGGAGTTCGTGATTGTACAGAAATGAACTTTTATTTAAGAAAAAGAGAGGAAAAAACCCCATAAAAAGCAGGCCTCTTGCCCGACTTCCTCCAGCCTTGGGGACCGTTCGCAGTCTGGGGAACCGGATGGAAAAGGGGGACACAAAGTAGGATCCAAATCCGCTTCGAGGTCGGACTGGGATCTAAGCCCTGGCTGGCGAGGTGCAGAACTGGGGCTCGCGAAGGGAAATACAGAGCTCTCCCCACCTCTCACCTGGATCCCGATCCGTGGACAGACCCGGAGGACCTGTGCCCTGGCCGGCGGGTGGCGGAAAGACCTAGCGACAGCGGCGGGGCGCGCACGCCGATTGGCGACGCCAGGAGCCCCGGGGAGGGAGGCGGTGAGGTGCGAGGCCGGGCGAGGGAGGTGAGGCAGCCGGGTGCTCCGGGCCAGCCGGGCGGGTTCTGGCTCTGAGATACCCTTTTATTAGTGTTGTCTCAGAGGTCAGCGACAGCGACAACAAACTCATAGCTTCAGAAACACCGACCTGCTGTGCATCAGGTGGGACTATATATTTTTTGTCTATCTGGGTGTTTGGTTTTTGTTTTTGCCAAAATTGCAAAATTCTAAATGTAAAGCCCTCAGTATCAACTCTTCTACCTTCACAAAGCTCTACACACACACACACACACACACACACACACACACACACACACACACACACACACAATCGATGGTCTCCAGCCAGACCTCTCAGTAAAATGACTTGAACATCAGCTGTACAAGAAAAGTATTCTACCTTCACACACAAAAGTTAAAAAAAAAAAAAAACTATTGAACTAAAAACAGTCAACTGTTTACGTATAATGTTAAATTCAGGAGTTCAGTGTTTTACTAAGATATGCTGTTTTGAAACCTCTTGTTCAAAAACAAAATGTTTTGAGCAATCAACCAAAATTATTCCTTTTCTTTTCCTGTAGATGTTCTGACAGACTTGCAGGGCTTGGGGCTCACTGTGCTAGTATGTAAAAAGGTGTTGTTTACACTAGGCAAAGAGAAAACATGATATTCAGACAGTTGCCAAATAGAATAATTATAGCACAAATACTGTAAAGGTGCCAGGCACCAGCAACCTGAGAAAGTGTTTTAAAAAAAGTATTAAAGGTTTAAAACAAGACATGTTTGCTAATTTTTAGTCCTGTTGAACATTCATGGAATTGTTAATATGACTTATATAGACCCACACAGGTTTTATTTTTGTGTCTTTAAAATAAAAGTCCAAAATATTTAAATTTTATGGTCAAATATGCAGTCAGCAGCTGCTACTTTTTTCTTTATATATTAAATTTCTCATATGTCTTTTATTGTTCTAATAAACCTAAGCTTGTGTGACCTCCAGTGCATATTAGACCATTCACTGTATGAAAGAATACATGTTGAATAAATTTGTGAGTTTTTAATAAAAATAGAAAATCTGATGTTTAGATAATTGGTGTGGTATTTGATATTTGCAACAATTAGAGAGGAGTCCTTATGGGGTGCAGAATGAGGCCCTCAGTAACCAGGAGGAAGACAGCCAGGATTGGGGTGATGTATGTTTTTGCCTTGGCTATGGCTGAAGCCCCTTTGCTAATACCAGGCAAGCTTTTCTCTGTGGCTTCCTGCTGTCATTAAATACAGATTTCTGTGGATTTAACTGATAGAGTTGAAGAGATATTTGCTGATAAGTTAATATAGAATTTGAAATAGAAATCAAATCCATGGCTAAAAATGAATAGTCCTGGTCTGTGATTAGAGATGAGATCCGAAGCATTCTCCCTGCACATGCAAAACCGGGCTTGTGAACGTCAGATACTTGTAAATATATAGTTAGAGGTGGTCCTTTTCAGTTTCAATTCATTTTCAATAGATAATCCTGCTTTCTAATTCGGTGGTTTGAAAGACAACATAAAATGAACGTATAGTAAACAAGAAATGAAATACTTTAATCCCTTTCACAGATCTGATATGAGTTGTTATTTTATAGTATTACATTTGAAGTTCCCCAGAAGGAAAACTATTTTGCCTGGCACAAGATACTTATTAAGTTTCTCTGAAAGAACAAAAATAACTAATATAGAAATCAAATTTCAACTGGGAGTTGGCCAATAGGTTCTGCAAAGTAGTTCAATCCCTTCCAAGCTTTATTAGAAATGGAAGGAATTTGAATATTTTATCTACTGTGAAATGCTCATGTGTGGGTGTATGTGTGGTGTAATATCAAATGCTATTAGATTTTCAGAATTTCTTTTCCGTATCACCTAGATTTCAGCCTGAATTATTTCCTAATTTTGAAAAAAGTCAAAAGTTTTACATTACATAGTATGTAATTTCCAATGCTGTTTTCATATTTTGTTAAGAGTGAATTTTATCTTTCTTGTAGAGAAAGCTTTAAATTAAGCAGTATTTCACTGCATTCCTGTGATGGCTTATCTAATGGGGGGTACTATCAGGGAGGAATCTGGTAGTGTTCTTTCAGAAATAAAAATTTATGAAATACAAAGGAGACTTCTGGAACTCCTAGCCTCTACATGCAGCACATTTCTTTAACTGCTTTATATGGAATCACTGGATTTTTTTGTCCTTTTTGCATTTATATACATTAAATCATAGCTAAGTTATTCATTACAGCTACCACCCTCAACCCTCTCCTCCTTAAAGACATTCATTTAACTGAACTTATGCTCTTTGGGAAGCTGCATTTTCCTATCATAGGCGGCTGAATTATTTAGTAGCTTTCTTGTGGCATCGGGGTGTTTGATTAGCGTTTTAGAGTTGGACAAGCGGTGTGGGCTCAATTCGAACTCGGTGGCAATGGCAGTCTTTCCCCTCGGCGCGATGTCGTGAAACCTGGCTGATACCCGAACAGGTGCTGATGCTCAGCAGTCTAAATTGGAGCCAAAGGCCCCGGATGGAGAGGTCTAGAAGCTGCAGGGGCTGAATCCCTTCTCAGCAATGCTGAGCCCTCCACCTCGACCCCGGCCCCGAGGTGCAGGGAAGCGTGGGACCGCCCGCAAGCGGCTCCGCAGAGAGACGCGCTGGCCAGAGGGCAACGCCACAGTGGACCCCTGTTGCCGGGGAGGGCAGCCTCCTCTCTGGCCCGGCCTGGCAGCTTGGTTTTTCCCCCGCGGCCATCTTAAAGCCGCCACTTCTGTGCCTCCTGCCACCTGTCCTGGGGTTCCAAGGGCGGGAGAGGCCATCTGCGAGGGCGAGGGTGCCCAAGCTCACCCAGCCAGCCGCTCCCTGAGGGCCGAGGCTGGGGTGCTGTGTGGTGCAAGACAAGGAGAGGAAGGAGGGTGCGTGGAGAGCATGCGAGGCATTGCCAGGGACTGGGACTTGGAGTTTGATGGCGCCTTAGAAGAGAGGCAGATTGGAGCCCCGTTCCCCTCAACTCTTGAAACTTCTGGTCCCGTGAATAGAACAGACACTTGTTTCAGACAATGGGGAGGAGGTTGTCTAATGTCACCTCTGCTGTGCCTACTTCTGTTTGCCACTTTGCAATTCTTAGCAGATGGCAGGACTGTGAACTGGGAGACCCTCTTGGCTTCTCTCCAGAGGACAGACAGATAGATTGGACAGACAGATTGTTCTTTGGGAAGACTGCTTGCCTTTATTCTCACCTCTCTGCTCATCTCATCTGCTCTCATTTTGGGGGTGGGTACTGGGATTGAACTCAGGACTTTGTGCTTGCAAGGCAGGCGCCCATGCCACTGAGCTAAATACCTGGCCCCCACCTGGTCTCATTTTTAAAGCTCTCAGAAGTTGAAATTTCTTCTAGGAAGGTATAGTCTTTGAAATATTCCCTCTCATCATCCACTCACCATTTCCAACCTCACCCCTTCCCAAGCAGGCAGCAACCCCCTGGAGAATCTAGAATGCAGTTAGAGAGGGACCCCCCCCCACCTCCCAGAGAGCAAGTGCAATTGAGAAGTTTCTCCTCTGCCATGCGCCCCAACTTCTCTTCAATCTTCAGTTCGAGAATTCATTCTCCTTTTCTCTCCAGGAATCATCTACTCTCAGTATTGAGTAACAAAGCACAGGAAGCATTTTGGGGACCCTGGCTTGTGTGTGACCTTAGAAGGCTCTTGATTACTTCTTTAAAAGGCTTCCCGAATCAGAAGGGAAATTAGGTAAGCAGGTCTCCGGCATTTTCTGCTGAGTGCTCAGTGTGGCTTCAAATGGTCTAGTAGCGTCCAGTTTGGCAGACAGTGTAGACCTACCTGGTCCCAGCCCTGCCTCGCCCCCATTCTTTTTCTCCTTACATTGAAGGCCAGATTTCGAAGCACTTTTAATGCCCAAAATAGCAATGAAAGAGGACTGGAGAAGGTAATTTTCTAAGTATGAAGCAAGAAAAACACTTTTGGTCTTTGAAGCCCAGGACAAATGGGACCTTGTAGAAGATTGAGGAGCATATTTTTACTCTAGAGGCCGAAATGCAGACACAAGACTGCAAATATAATGGATATATTTTGAAACAAAAACAAAACCCTGTTCTCATAGCCCGAGTTCTCTTATGGATGGTAAAATGAGGTTTTCTTTGCTTGAGTCCCCTGCTTGGCTGGCATTCTTGTCCATCCACGTCTGAGGAGACTGACCCCAAGACAGGTTCTTTTTCCCCACTGCAGCCATGGTTGTCTTCATGCCAGAGCCACTTAGGATAATGGCATGGGATAGGCTATACTAAAGTAGTGACCATTCATTATTTGACTGTGAGACCATATGAAGACTGTGAAAGTCAGGGACCTTCTTTTCCTTTGGATTCTACAAGAGATACTAGGGAATTTATAGAGTTGCCAAGATCGTTCACACTGTGGGATCCAAGTGGCCTGGACTGTACTCAAAAAGGGACACTGTCAAAGTGCATCACCAATTTCTTTTTCTGGTCTTTTGGAGTCAGTTTTTCTGCTGAGCAGGTTCCAGGTCTCTATAGGTGACCTCCAGTGACAGATACTGGAAAGATAGATCACTTTGCATTCAGACTTATCATTTCTTATTGCAGATTATGTTTACAGGTTTGTCTGACCCCCTAGGCTGATCACTGTGGGGAAAGAATCTAACTTACTCATCTTGTATCTCATCTAGCAGGTCCTGCTACACAGTGGGCAGTCAGGGAATGCTCAACGAAGGAACAAAAATGCAAAGGGATTGCATTTTTCCCTGTACTTGAGTGAAATTAAATTTCTCCTATTAAGTCTTTATATGCCAACCTCCTAACTGTAGACCTGAGTTTTTCTGCTTTTGTACACCAATTTCAGGTGTCTGAGTTCGCCTTCATCTCTCAACAGGAAAGATTATACAGAGGAGTGTGCAGTAACTTCACTCCACCCCCTTTTTGGAGAAGCTACAGAAGCGATCTTTATTTGTGCACAGCCATAGCGATTTCTAATTGTTCCTATTAATGAAAACACCAGCAGTTCGCTGCAAGATTACACACACACATCTCTAATATAGGATTCCCAAATTCTGGCTGCTTCGGGGCTGAAGGCATGAGCCCTGGCCCAGACTCCTCTAAATTATGAAAAGCCAAATCTGTTTTGGGTCCCAGTCTTTGCATACCCGAGTGTGCAACAGTGATTCAAAAAGCTTACTTTTAACTCTCTCCTTTCCAAATCAGCCACCTTGGGCCACAGCTAGGCTGTGCTTTATTTCTAAGCGAACCTCTCACAAAGCCTGAGGCATATTTTGTGCAAGGAGACACCGGCTGCACGCAACGCAATCAACGCTCCGAGGTTGAGGCGGTCACGTGCTCTTGCGCGCTCCCGCGCCTCCAAACACGGCACTTCCACGCACGCGCACGCGTGGTCCGACGGCCCCAATCTCTTCAGCCTTCCGCGCTCTTCCGCCTTCATCCTAGCAACGCGCGTAGTGACGCGCAGGCCCCGCCCCCCCGCGCGCGCCTCCCGGAAGTTGCCGGTAGGAAGCTGAGCGCGCGGCTCGGCGCGGTCCCTGGCTGTTCTGCAGCGTAGTGTAGGGCTAGGAGCGCCCGCTGGGAGGTAGCATCTGGGCCGGGACTCGGGGCGCGCGTTTACGTGCGCAGCGCGGACCGGGATCTAGTGAAGATGGCGGGGCCGCAGCCTTTGGCCCTGCAGCTGGAGCAGTTGTTGAACCCACGACCGCGCGAGGCGGATCCTGAGGCCGACCCAGAGGAGGGTGAGGCCTGACTGGGGCAGGCCACGTGCGGAGCCGTGGGCCCGGCTTAGTGAGGGCTCGGGGCGGCGTGGAAGGAGCGGCAGCAGTGCCTCGCAATCTGGCCTCCTTCCCTCCTGGCTCAGAAGAAATTGCTTCCCCCCGGGGTTGTCCCGGGCTCGGGAGAGGGCTTCGCCTTCTTCTGACACGCACTGTAGACTTGGAGCCCCGGTGGTGGTGGTGGGGCACTTATCGAGAACTCGCGCCCTGAGCTGGTTAAGTCCGTCGAGGGCTGCTGGGGGGAGCCAGAGAGTGGCAGCAGGTTAGAAGTTATCCTTCAGGCAGCCCTAACTGGTATTGTCTTAGAAAGAGGGCGAAAGAAGTCTCATCTTTTTTTTTTTTTTTTTAAACTCTGGTTGCATCTAAAACTAGCTTGGAGAATGAAGAAAAAGTAGGAGTCCCTGGCACTACCTTAAACCTCTTTAGGTCCCAAGACACTTGCTCAGGGGCTGACGACAGACCACTGCTGTGAAGGCCCGATGTTCAAGGTCTAGCTGGGAGTAATCCTACTTTAGACTTGAGTCAGAGAAGTGTGCGGAAGGGATAACAATGTGTATGCTGCGTGGCTTAGGAATATCAGTTGAAGGAACTAGGGGCTGTTTAGCCAGGATAAGAAAACTCCCAGAGGGCCAGGACGGAATGAAGATAGAACTTGATGGCTGATTTAAGATATTGGAACGACTGTCACACATGGAAAAGGAATTAGATTTATATGATCCAAGGCATAGAAATACATCTACTACATTCAGGGAGTTAGCTCTCTGTTCAGAAACAGCAGAAAGACAGTGGTCTACCTGGAGAAGTAATGAGTTTCCTATTCTTGGAAGTTGGTGAGGATTTTGCAGAGGATATTACGTATGAGTTGAAAGAGTTTAACAGGGTTCCTGTTAAAATTTCTTCTAACTTGAGATTGTGATTACTTTTCCTCCACAGCTACAGCTGCCAGAGTGATTGACAGGTTTGATGAAGGGGAAGATGGGGAAGGTGATTTCCTGGCAATGGGTAGCATTAGAAAACTGGCATCCACCTCCTTCTTGGACACAGACAGGAGGTATTCTGGCAAGACCACCTCTAGAAAAGCTTGGAAGGAAGACCACTGGGAGCAGACTCTGCCAGGTTTGTCTGGTGAGTAGATCTATTTGCATGGAACTTTTTTTTCCTTAAGTTTTTAGGGTTAAAATCCTTTTTATGTGGATGTTCTTTGCAAGCTTGTGTCTTTACCTATTATCTTAGGAGAGATCATTGATTCGGTATTAGGAAAAGCCTTAGATATTACATCATTGCACTTCATAAGAAACCTCAAGCCCAGATGATCAAGTTGCTGTGCTGTGTATAATCAGACTAAGTATTTTCCCTAAAATGGAGTGAAAGAAAATGCACTGGATATTGGAGAGGGCTGTGTGTTACAAAAGCATGTCTAATGAACATCCTCCTCTTAGTTTTTGACTCATTTCCTTTGGTTTTTCAGGTCTTGTACTGACTCAGTGTATAGTAACAAGTTATTTGTGAAACTCACCTTTTGGCAATGTAAAAATAACATAATGCTTCCCTCACTACTGCAAGACAGTGTAAAGTGTAAACTCACTTTACAGTTTTGAAGAACTCTGTTTTCTCAGCTGGATGTGGTGATGCCAGTACTTGGGCGGCTGAGGCGGAAGGATCATGAGTTTGAGGCCACCGTGAGCATAGTGAGACCCTATTTTAAAAACAACAACAAGGCTGGGGATTTAGCTCAGTGGCACTGCACCTCCCTCGAAAGTGCAAGGTCCTGAATTTGATCCCCTGTACCATAAAAAAAGAAAAAACGACAAAAAGAGTTATACCTTTCTCAAGGTTGAAGAAAGTGTTGGATATGGTGGTTATAGAGAGAGGGTGCCATTTGTTTCCTTAGGGAGGGCAGGAGTGCCATGTTGAGAATCCATAGATAATACAAAAGGAACAATCATTCACGTTATAATATCTGTGATTTAGTCCTTGATGCACTTCTGGGAGCTCCTAATAAGCTCACTTCTTATTCTTTATCTAGAGCCCGATAAAGGGACCAATCATGAGATGAATATGATTATATTTATTGAACTCTTACCACATGTCAGCCAATTCTGAAAGTCTGGGACACAATAAGTTATCAAAAAATATTATCACTGTTATCATGGTCTGTGTCATTTCATTTAATCCTCCCAATAGCCCAAGAAGTTGGTATTTTTTATCCCCATTTTACAGATAAGGAAAGTGAGCAGCCAATTGGTAGGTAGCTTGCTCCAGATCACAAAACTATTAAGTGGAAGAGCCATGATTCAAGTGAAGGCAGTCTGACTCCAAGAACTGCTGTGATGTATGAGTTAAAAAAAATTTTTATTAGACATATCTGCAGTATAAAATGGTTGCATTCATCATAGGGAGTTATACATGTCCTTAATATATATTTTTTCCTTTTTTTATATGTATATATATGTGTGTATATGTATATATATGTGTATATATATGTATACACATATATATATGTGTATACATATATATGTGTGTGTGTATGTATGTGTGTGTGTATATATATATATATATATTTTTTTTTTTTTTTGGTACTGGGGATCGAACTCGGGACCTTGCACTTGCACAGCAGGCAGCAGAACCACGGAGCTAAATCCCCAGCCTCCTTGATATATCTTAATTCTTTTTATGTCCTCTTTCCCCACTGTCGGCTATGAAAGTTTCTTAGTTTGAGAAATGGTATGCACACATTTAAAGAACTTGAAGGATTTGTTTATGGTTTTTGCAGTTTTTCTATTTATATTTTTGACAGCCTTGTCTGTATCTTGTTTATGTATATTTCTTTAAAGAAGTACTGGGCCAGGCATTTAGCTCAGTGGTTCTAGCGCCTGCCTCACAAGCGCAAGGTCCTGAGTTCTATCCCCGGTACCAAAAAAAAAATAAGAAGTACTGAAGACCCATCGTCTTTTCATAAAATCTGTTTGGTTGAAGAAGGTTATGTCTAATTATCATGCTTGGTATACATGGAGATTTTATGCTTTCCCATGGAAGAGATTGGATAAACAGTGAAAACTTAAGTGTCAGGTGATGCGACAGCATAGGTAAAACGAAGAGCTTAGGTAGCACTCTGTGATAGGATCAAGTTCAGAAAGACAGGGCCTTGCCTGAAACTGGCAACTCTGTAGGCGCACCTCCCACCAGTTCCTGTGTGTTCTGTACTCCATCACTGTTCAGACTTTCTCCCCCCACTTCTCTCTGATGACCTGTTCCTTATGCTTTGTAAGTAAAATCATAACGTCTCCTTCATGTGAAGCTCCCTCACCTTTTCGGGAGAATTAAGTGGTTACTTCTCTGAATACTGTGTACTGATGACATTGTTATGTAATTACTGGTATACATATCTACTACTTTTGTCATACCATGAACTCCTTTCACCAGCATTGAATGCTTTTTGTGTTTTCTTAGCCTTGATGTCTGCCTTATACTGGATACTTAGAAAGTAGAGTACACTGGTATGATAGAGACTGTGCATTTGGAATAGTTCATGATGAACTGTATTTTAGGTATATAATTATTTTGAAATTTTACTGTTCTTTTGTTATTGTTGAAATGAGGTCTCACTGAATTGCCCAGGCTAACAGTGAACTTGAAATCCTCCTGCCTCAGCCTTTCAACTAGCTGGGATTACAAGTTTGCATCACTGTGTCTAGCTCCTTATAATCTTTTTTTTTTTCTTCTTCTGGTACCAGGGATCGAACTTAGGACCTTGTGCTTACCAGGCAGGCGCGGCTCCACTGAGCTGCATCCCTGGCCCTACCTTATAATCTCTTTTTAAAAACTTTTAGTTTATTATTACATGTCTGTAGTACATAGTTTATAATCTTTCTTAAATTCATTTGCCCCACAGTTAAAATTTGACCTTTCTCTGGGTTATTTTAATTTTAGCAAAGCATTTTTTATTTTATAATCTATTTATTTATCTAATGTGGTGCTGGGAATTGAACCTAGGGCTTCATGTGTGATATGTAAATGCTGTACCATTGAGCTGCATTCCAAACTTTATTTCTTTATTTATTCATTTATTTTTAAAATTTGGGACAGTGTCTCACTAAAGTTGCCCAGGTATCCTCAAATTTACAATTCTCTTCTGTCAGCTTCAAAAGTATCTGGGATTAGAGGCGTGTCACTATATTGAAAAAGGTTTTTTTGTTTTGTTTTGTTTTTTGGCATTAGTAAGGTAGAACCTAGGACCTTTGCACTGAGCTACATCCCTAACCCTTTGATTTTTTTTTTTTTTTTTGGTGCCGGGGATTGAACTCAGGTCCTTGTGCTTGCACAGTAGGTGGCGAAACCACTGAGCTTCCCCGGCCCCTTGATGTTTTATTTTTGAGACAGGATTTCACTAACTTGCCCAGGCTGGGCTTGTACTTGCAATTGTCCTGCCTCAGCCTCCCAGAGTGCTGGGATTGCAGGGCTCTAGCAAAGCATTTTTCATTCTTCTCTATTTTGTTCTTTTTTTTGGTACCGGGGATCGAACTTGGGACCTTGCGCTTTTAAGGCAGGTGCTGGAACCACTGAGCTAAATACCCCGGCCCCAGTTTTGTTCATTTTTGCTTCTCTCTTAGTATTTTAGAAATAGTAGGTGGATAATTAATATTTGTTAAGTTGCATTGACTACAATAATACTCCCCCATAGATGCCTTGGTTTTTCAATAGAAATGACAGATAGGGCCTTGTATTTTTACCCAGATAACACCTATTTTTTCTTTTTTCCTTCGTGATTCAGACCAGGAAATATCTGATGGGGAAGGGTCTGGAGATGGAGATTCAGAGGCTCTGGGCCTAGAGGAATCCGATGAGGATGACTTGAGTGGTGCTGAGGAACAGGATGCTGATGATGAGGGGAGCAGTGCGGCCTGGAAGAAAGGCGGAAGCCACTCTGCAAATGCACCAGGTTTTAGTTGCCAGAGCATCAGTGACTTTGAGAAATTTACTGAGGGAATGGATGACCTTGGGAGCAGTGAGGAGGAAGATGGAGAAGAAGAGAGTGGCGTGGAAGAAGAGGGTGGTGAGGAAGACAGGGCCGGAGACAGGCACAGTGAAGATGATGGTGTGGTGATGACCTTCTCCAGCACCAGGGTTTCCGAGGAAGTGGAGAAGGGAAGAGCTGTGAAGAACCAGATAGGTTTGTACATGATTTTGCTGGTCACTTGTTTCTCCGAGTCTCTGGATTTGGTCTACTTTTTGTTTGTTTGTTTGTGGCTGTTCTGTCTCTGGGATGTCCTTGCAATTAGTTTGTGACATGCCTCACTTCCTCAGAGGCCCAAAGCCCCATTCCTCTGTGCTTAGCCAGCCGTTTCTGCACTGAGCTGCTTAGCTGGTTCTGCTCTAGTACTTGTAGCAACTGTGGAAGATTGAAGAGGAGAGTTTCTCTTTTCCTTGGGATTTAGCATTCCCTCTCTTGTCGCAAATATTTGTTTCTAAGATACTGAATTGATTTCCTAGAATAGAGGGTGTTTTCATGGCCTGAAACTGATAAAGCTGTAGTGCTTCGAGACCAGTCTGGTTTCCTGTCCCTCCCCTGTCTCCATCCCAGGAAGATTTTATTCTAACTCATGGGTCAGATTCTGTTTTCTTCTTTCTTAGCACTATGGGACCAGCTCTTGGAAGGAAGGATCAAACTACAAAAAGCTCTGTTGACCACCAATCAGCTGCCTCAACCAGATGTTTTCCCTGTTTTCAAGGACAGAGGTGGCCCAGAATTTGTCAGTGCCCTGAAAAACAGTAAGAATACTATACTATTTTGGGATATTTAGAACCACTGAGATACATTGGTATATATTGGGATTGATGTAAAAGAAGGGCGGGTTTCATTTTAGTGATGTTATAATAGTGTTTTTTTAAACTCTTAAAAATAGCAATGTAACCCTTTTAGTAAATGAAGACAACTTTGAAATGGATTGGGCATTGGAGCCATGGCTGCTCTACTTTCTTTTCTCCTGTTTTCATTCCTTGGTCTCCCTATGACTTTCTGAATAACTTCTGTAAGGCTTGGGCTTAGGGAATACTGTGTGATAACTCCCTGGTACAGGGAAAAAGAGAAAGGATGAGTGATCAAACTCAGTTCATTTAAGTTAGTTGTGTCATGTGCTTAAAACATGCCATCCTTTGGTAGGTTTTTAGAACAGTGTGCTAAGATGATTTTATACATCTTCCTTTTGGTGGCAAACAGTGAGGACAGATGATGACTGCAGGGGGAGGATTAAGTTTTGGAAAAAAATTGCAGAGCTATAAAGTCAAAAAATTCTAGAGAGAAAAATAATTTAGAGATTATTTGGTTCCCAATTCCCTCATTTTACAGATGAGAGAACTGAGGCTCAGGAAAATGACTTGGCCAGAGTTACAGAGGTTGTTCATGAGCAGCAGAGGTAAAACTCCAGCTTTTTTGCCTTAGGACTAGGAGTCTTCCTTTGGCACCACACTGCCTCCTGTGTGCCCAGTGGCACTGAAGGACTGGGGCACAGGGACACATGGGGTAAGGGCGCTGTGGCTTGAATCACTTCCTTCCTTATTTGCATGCTGAGAGTTGGTGTTTCCATTTGCTCTTTTGTTGTTTTGGTGGTTGTTGTATTAGAGATTCAACCCAGGGCCTGCACATACTAGGCAAATGCTCTACCACTGAGCTACTTCCCCCGTCCTTCCATTTGCTCTTTTTTTTTTTTTTTTTTTTGCTTAAATTCTTTTATTGGTACATTTTAGGTATACAGTACTTTTGCATTTATCATTGGGTGCTTCTACCTGTACGTGATGTATCTTGGTTCTTATTTTTTCCCCATTACCTGTGCGCCCTTCACCCCTCCACCCTTCCCTATTTACATACTTTGTTTCCATTTTTTTTTCTTTTCTCATAATTTTTCCTTTCCATTCTTTCCTTTCCCCATCTCCTCCCACCACCCCTACCCCTTTGGACCTTTTCCTATTTCAAAGTATCAATTATTAGTTCTTAATCCTTTTAATCCTTATTTATACTCTCAGTTTCTCACACTAGAGAAACTATTCGGTATTTACACGTGTGTCTTATTCACTTAAGAGTAAAAAATATGGAACACTTCACGAATTTGCATGTCATCCTTGTGCAGGGGCCACGCTAATCTTCTCTATATTGTTCCAATTTTAGTATATGTGCTGCCGAAGCAAGCACTCCATTTGCTCTTTAAAACTTAAAGCTGGGCCAGGCATAATGGCACACATCTTTGATCCCAGCTACTAGGGAGGATAAGGCAGAAGAATGACAAGTTTGAGGCCAGTCTGGGCAACTTAGTGAGACCTTGTCTCAAAATAAAAAAATAAGGGTAAGGATGTAGCTTAGTGGTCCCTCTTTCAATCTCCAGTACCACAAACAAATAAAAAACTAAAGCCAGGTTGGCTAGCATGTGCCTGTACTCCCAGCTGCTTAGGATGCTGAAGCAGGAGGATCTCTTAAGCCCAGACTTTTGAGGCCATTGAGACCCCTATCTCAAAAAAGTTAAAAAGACTTAAACAGTATGGAGTTCAGAGTTGGAAGGGACCTGAGGAGGACATCTATGTTGGCATCTGCTATAAATGAAACCATCTTAAATCATTTGAGATACATGTATAGGATTTCTAGGGTAGGGAATTCTGTGACTGTTTTTTTTTTTTTGGTACTGGGGATTGAACTCAGGTCCTTGTGCTTTTGAGGCAGGTGGTGGAACCACTGAGCTAAATCCCTGGCCCTGTGACTGTTTTTTATATAGGACAATATCTGGTTTGGTTAGGAATGGCTTCCTGTACTTGAAGTTTGTCTCCTATGAAAAAAGACTGAACACTTCTTTCAGGAACCATCTTGCATCTATTGTGAGATGGGTCTTTTATCCTTTTCAACTTTTTCTCCTTCCTACTTTAAATAGATAAGAGATTGATGGTTTCCCTTTTTTTTTTTTTTTTTTTGGTACTGGGGATTGAACTTGGGTCCTTGCGCTTGTGAGGCAGGTGGTGGAACCACTGAGCTAATCCCCGGCCCTTCTCTGCTATTTTTAATGCCCCAGTACCCTAATTTCTGGAATGCCTGCGAATGAGACCTAAACTGGAATAGGTTAAATGTTTTATAATAAGACCTTTTCCATTTTGTTGCTCTTCTTGAGTCTTTTCCTTTTTTAAAAAAATTCATCTTTAAAGTGAAGATATTTTAAAGTTAGCATCAGGTATAATGGACACATTCTTATTCTCGAATATCATTTAGTTTCTTCAGCCATTTTCTTGTTATTTAGCTTTTGTTTTACAACAGTTCTAATCTTTTTAACCTGTCTTCTTTTGTGCTTAACCATTTGTCTCATTTGGTGAACTTCATTTAATCTGACAGATGTCTGTTAATCTGACAGAGGGTTTGTGGAGGAGGGAGAAGAAAGAAAGGTTTGTTTAATGTAACATACTCTGAGAGGATAGGGAGCTTTCTAATAACCAGAATTTCTGTGCATATGAAGGGTAGCTAACCTTTGTTTCAACCTTCTTATGGCAGTATGACATAATATGTTGTATACTTTCCTGTTTTGGTAAACAGAGTTTAAGAATAATTTCATGGCTACATTATTCTGGGTGAACAATTTATACTGTTCTGTATAGCTGCTGTGGAACATAGCCTAAATTTATACCTACCCTAGAACAAACACCGGAATGTATTGTCTTTAATTAAATCTCTTTTCAGTTTGCTTAGTCTTCTGGGTAAAATCAGACTGCCTGGGTTTAGATTTCATCTCAGCAATGGATTAGCTATGTGACCTTTTGTAAGTTACTTCGAAGTAAAATGGGGATAATATGGTTGTGAGGATTAAAGGACATAATCAATATAAAGCATTAGCACAGTGTCTGGCACACATCACACCACAGATGTTAAGTACTAGTATTATCTTTTTCTGCTGAGAAGCATTTGGCAGTATTCAACCACATAATTGTCATAGCATAACTAACCATCTTCTCCACTGCCTGATTATCTACAAGACTTCCTCTTCTCCTGTTCTCATTCAGTGATTTTTAAACTTTTTTTAGAACTCAAATTCTGTACATAATATAACTATTTTGGGAAGTGGGCAGTGTTATGGTCTATTTTAATATTTATAATTTAGCTTCGGCCCCTCATGACACTATGGAAAGCTAGCTAAGAGATTTCCTTATTGCCAAACTGAGTTCTTTCCTACCTAAATGACGACTTTACTTTGAAAGACTTTCCTTTGGCTTTTGTGACCTGTATATGCTGTTTGGATCCTCCTACCTCTCTGATCTCTTCTCAAGCTCTTCTTTTACCCTCTCAGTGTAAACTTCATTGCAATCAGAATCCTGACCTTTGGTTGCATTTTCGTACTGTATTCTCTCCTTGCACTGTCATTTACTCTCATGGCCCTAATTATAGCTTCTAAAGTCTAGCACAATAAACTCCTGAACACCAAGTCTTTGTACTTCTAGCACCTTAAACTCTACTTTTCAGAAACTAAACAAATAACTTCTTTCTTTTCTCCCTCCCCAACACAAATGTAGTTGCCAGTCAGTCACTTTGGTGTTATATGTTGGTAATTAGATCTCTTGTACCATGAAATGATTTCAACAGTATTTTTTTAACAGTATTTTTTGACATTTTAGTGGCTGTATATGTGTTAAGTCATGAAGTAATCTTAACAAAATTAGGGAATATTCTATTCACAAGGCTACTTGCCACAGAGGTTAGCTTTTCCCTTCTCTTTCTTTTAACAGCTTTGTTATTAGGAGGCAGGCCCTTATGATGGTGGTGATGATATATAAGGAACAAGGCAAGTTACCTAAGAAAATTTCAGCATGAATTATTTAAAACTTTTCATTATGGACCACATCAAACCTATATGAAAGAGAGAAAAGTGCAGTGAACCCCCATATACCATCACTAGCTTAAGCAGTTAACTCCCAGCCACTCTTTTTTTGTGTATGTGTGGTGTTAGGGATTGAACCTAGGGCTTGATACATGCTAGGCAAACACTCTGTCATTGAGGTATATCACCAGCCCTATCCCTGTTAACTTACTTCATTTATACATAAACTAGTGCCCCCCCCTTCTGGATTATTTTGAAGCAAATAACAGCTATCATCTCATTTTTATCAAATCTTTCACCATGTATATCTAAAAGATAAGAGTTTTTAAAAAAATCTTGATACCAGTATTCCACATAAAAACATTAACAGTAATTTTTTTAATAAGCCCAACTGACTTTGGTGAGTGGGAGAATTGAGAGCATTTCTATCTTACTCATTTTTTTTTTTTCAGAATTTGCTGTATAGCTTTAAATGAATGATAAAAGGAAAGGTAAACTTTAGCCATAATAAGTTGACCTTTTAGTGAAATGCATGTTATTAATGTATTTAATGAGATGCATTACAAACTGCAGTGAGCACCATGTTTCATTACAGGTCTAAAATGCAATATCATTAAAGACCTTTAATAGAAACAGTGGTTGACATTTTGATACTTCCCATAAGCAAAACATCTAAGAGCATAGTGTAATGCAACAAAAGTAGAGGAAGTGAAAATTTTTTATTTGCCTAAGAGTTTAAAAACAAATTCTACTACTAATGAAGTATATTTTCTTTGCTCCCCCCATCTTCCTACTTCTAATTTATATTCACTCCTTCATCTCTCTATAGCCCTTCTCCAAGACCCCCAATTATTTGGACTTGAATAGACTTAAAATTTTTATTGCTAAGTTGACCTAAGCACTGAGAGACACCTTAAAGAATGGTTTACA